CTTTAAGGTTACTACTGTATATTTTAAACATTTAATTGTTCTAATATATCTTCTCCATTAAAAGTTAATACTCTACCTCACTGTTTTTGAGTTGAGTTGAGTCACTCTACCTTTGAATTCTGCTGAAGCGATACATGTTTTTATAAGTCTAATGTCTTTATTGCTCACTTATAAGTCATACAAGTTAGAATGACTGCACTCAAGTGTCCAGTCTTTTTAGTAACTTTGCCTCATTTTGCTCCACCTGAGGCAAATCCTATGAAATTCTTTTCCCATTATATCTGGAGGTTTTTACAAAGCTAACCAAACCAACTCAAATAATAGTTTTCCTCTTAAAGCTGCAGCAGCTGTTTATTTTCAGGCTGTGAAATATACCACAAACACATCAATGACATTATTATCTTATACGGGGTGACTGTGGTTCAGTGGGTAGAGCAGTCATATCCCGGTCGGAGGTTCGAATCTCGGTGCCTGCAGTTCACATGTCGAAGTGTCCTTGGGCAAGACACTGAACCCCCAAGTTGCCCCCGATGGTTAGAGCCATCAGTTGAGTTGGCGCCGCAGATGGCTGCCTCGGTTCTGTACTGGAAACAAATTCCTTGTGTGTAACATACTTGGCCAATAAAGGTGATTATCCTTACAGTACAGTTGGTATGGTGAAACTGCTGGCAAACAATAATTTAACATAGTATAGCATTAGCATTCATTTAATATGGTGTGCATGGTGACCCGAGCAATACAACTCCATTATTCATTCTCATTTTAGTAGCCATGCAACCCTGGTTGTGCCCACTCTCATCTGACTGTAACAGCTAAGTCAGGTTATGTCTGGTTAGTACTTGGATGGGGGTTCACCTGAGAAGACCAGGGTTCCAACCAGCCAGCAGGTATGCATGTGTTAGTGCAATCCCTGCACTCAATCAAGGTCTGGGTAGAATAAAAGGGTATGCAGAAGGGTACTGGGTGTAAAACCTGTGCCAACTCAACTATACAGATTGTTGAGATCCACAGGGGTGAACAGCTCAAAGAAGAAAAACCACATTTGTTCTCCTGTTTTGATCATTTATTAACTCCTGTGGGAGCTGCTAATTGTTCTGCTGTGTTAACCAGCCAGTTGCTACCTCTGTTTGTCAGCTGTTTGTTGCCAGGGAGGGTAACAGTGGGTCTTTTGGCTGAAGACCGCCACCTTCTGCAGCTGAAAACAATGCTTTAAGAGGAGAAAAGGTACAGGCTGCAAAACCAAAACAAGCAGCTGAAAGATCTAGTAAAAAGTAGTGGATCTGGCTCTGATAGGTCTGGTAGGTCTGACTGACAAAAGAACAACTTTCTTCATTCATTAGAAAGATTTTTCTCTTTAAGACCGTTATTTCCCCCTTTGAGTCTATATTATGAATAATATTGATGTCAGGGAGAGGAGGAGAGTCTAATGTCTGTCAATAAACATTTCATTTTCTATCAGCCTTTCTGTTTGGTTTCATTAGAGGCTGAAATCTAGTTTGATGTGATACATTTACACCATTTACACATTGTCTAAAGTATATGGGCTCCTTACAAAACACTAAAATATTTGAATCATAACTTAGATTTTTGAATTATGAATATACAAACAGAATAAAGAGAAGTGAAAATTTTTCATTCCCAGTTCTGCATCTAGTTGCCCTCAGTAACTTTGATTCCTTTGAGGTTGTAGTCTGTATACCCAGCTATTCCTCATTCAGTCACAGTGTAAATGTTAAGACCAGTTTTCAGCCAGTCCTTGCCCAGTTGTCTTTGTTGCCAACCTGCTGTAGCATTCCAAGTACTGCTGCCATTGCTTTTGGTTGTCTGATTTTTACTGCTTGTGACCAGTGAGGGTGAGATATCATTTAGCACAAGCACTAACTACAACTTCAAAAACAATTACAGAAATCAGCTTCTCTAAAGTAAAAATGTTCTTATTCAAAAAGAATGAAAACTGAAATTGAAGAATCAAAATCTGTCACAACACTGATGTATATCATAAGACAAGAACATTTAGTTATATGAAAATGTCACAATTTCCGTTTCTACTTATTAAGTACCACAGTTTTGTACTTTTGTTCCATCGATGAATATCTCAAGAAACCATTTCTACCACTGCACACTCACATTTTTAAAACCTCAGCTAATGAAAGCAGGTTTGGTTCAGCCAAACTGCGTCCACAGAAAGCGACAGTATAGCATCATTTTGACTCGTGGAGCACAGCTGTCAGGGTAAATTAATCCTCCCACACAGTGCCTGAGCCTTTCCACCTTCCCAAGCCAAGTGAGTCTTTTTTTTCAGGGAGGTGTGTTTGTTCATTTTCCAGAGCTGTGTCACTACACATGGAGAGCAGCATGAATCAGTGCAATAGCATGACCGCCCTTAGTCCTAAAGATGAAAACGTTTATGTCCTTTTGTTTATGTTTGTACATTCTGGATTCTGGTATTTCATCTTTTCTCAAATTAACATTGTGTCCAGCTAACAGGTATTATCTGTTTAGCCACAGCTTGACACCATTTATGTCTATATGCAATAGAACTGCACTTCCAAGGGTGCAACATTCTTTCCTCTTTTGTGTTTTAACATGAAGTTGTTGCCATGCCATGTTTGGGTAAATGCCCCATTTTGGTGATATCATGCTCATTATCCATCATAGAGGTATGCACTACATACATCTATATGTTAACTTTAAAAAAAATTCTCATATGGCTACATCAGTAGCGGATGCTGGTCGTCACCCAAATTGAATCTCGGTGCCTGCAGTCCACATGTCGAAGTGTCCTTGGGCAAGACATTGAACCCCCAAGTTGCCCCCAATGGTTAGAGCCATTGGTTGAGTTGGCGCCGCAGATGGCCCCTTGTGTGTAACATACTTGGCCAAATAAAGGTGATTATTGTGATTAACTACATCCAAATGTCTTCTATGTTAAGTTTGAGCACAAAAAGCACAGAAAAATGATTCATCTGCAGTGTTTGTGTCATCTGCCAACAGCTGCTAGCTAGTGTTAGCTCCGTGAGCTAAGATAAGGGTGCAGTCATTTTTCAGTCTGTCGCTCTCATCAACGAGATCTAACTCTTCAGTTTATCTACAGTTAGCTACGGTTCTCCATTCATACTGATTTAAGCACCATTTTAGCCAAACAAAACAAGAATGTATGGAGGAAAATATAATATATCTCCCAAAATGGTGTCTCTGTCCCAACATGGTGTGACGTACCTTCACATTCTCTATAGTGTTTGGGTAACTGTAGATTCAGGTATGGACCAGTCTCAAAATCCTGC